CCCCAAAACCCCAAAACCCCAAAACCCCAAAACCCCTGGGAATTTAAAAAATATTGAAAATTCTAGATTCTCAGTTAGCGTCTTAAATCTTAGAATGCAATTATTCGCCCTCTGCAGGTTTAGTAGTACTCTCTTCAGGAGCTTCAACGACTTTTTCAGAGGTTTCGATGACTTCTTCAGGTCCAGATGATTGCTTCTTGATTTTAAGCTCTTCTGGAAGAGCTTGGTCGTCGAGCCAGTCTCCAAACTCATCAACTCTTTTGTCTACTTCTTGTGTTGTCTCGCTGACTTTCTTGTAGTTCGTCTTTCCATCCCAGAATATGACTTCTATTTCTTGACCATCGAATACTCTTTGATTAAATTTGTCAACTCACTGCTCTGCACTAAGGGGATTTTCAAACTTGATTTTGATCACTCCTTCTGGGTTATCTCTGAAGAGCTCAATTTTTTCGATCTTTCCTCACTGGTTTTGAACTTCTTGAGCTACATCTTGCTCAATGACTTGGAAGAATTCATTCGATTTAGCCTATATCAAACATTAGCTGAAATTTGGAGCAAATACATACCTCATCATCTTTAGGAGCTTCATTTGGATCGAACATATGCTTGAGGATAACAATTTTTAGTCCGATGCTGGAGGCTTGCTCTTCATTCCAGGCAAATCTTCTTTCTTTTTCAGCTTGGATTCTCTTTTTCTCTACTTCGTCAATTTTCTGCCTCTTTCGTTCCCTGTATTCCTCTCCTTTTTGCTCAAAATGGGCTCTCTCAACTGTGATAACAGCGTCATGTCTTATGTTGCTTTGATGGAGCATCTCTATTGCTGTGTCTACACTTTCTAGATTCTCAAAGGAAAGTAAGGCATCGCCTTTATTAGTCCCATCGTCGTTCTTGTACAGCTTGATCTTATGCAAACCTGTATTAGGATCTATCCTGATAGCTCCACATTTAGAGAAGTGGTTCTCGATCTCTTCTGCAGTGATGTCCTGAGGAAGCCCACCGATATAGATATTGCTATTAATTTTGGCCTTATACCACTTCTTTTTAGACTTGTTCTTTCTGTACCTCTTTTTCTTCTCTTTTCTAAGAAGCTTGTATTTCAATTGTTTTTGTTCTTCGGTAAGATCCTCATCGTTTTTGTCGAGGAGGTCTCTTCCTTCGATGTTGTCTAATGCTTTGTTAGCCAATTTTTCGAGCTCTTCTGCATCAATTTCTTGAGCATTTTCTTCTTGAGGTTCTTCTTTGGTCTCCTCTTGAGGCTCTTTCGGCGGTTCTTGCTGCTCGTTCTGCTCTGTGATGGCTGGTATATTATCTGCTTCTTCTACTGCATCATTAAGGAGAGCTTTAAGAGTATCTACTTCATCTAGAATAATGAGGAAGTTATACTTACAAAGTGCTTTCCATTCTTCCATACCATCCTTCCAGACTAATGAATTAGAAACAATGGATTTGGTCTTGTACAATGCATCTATGTCTCGAAGGGAGAAAGGACCCTTGTTTTCCTTCTTATCGTTCAGGATATACCATTCCTCAGCCTCGTAATCGTCTGACATTTTAATTTGTAATAATTGGGGTTTTGGGGTTTTGGGGTTTTGGGGTTTTGGGG